TGAATTTGAATATGTTCTAATGTTAATTATGTTTTATGAATATGTCCTGATGATGGTCTAAAATAGACCGAAACGTCCGACGTTGACATTATATTAACATTAATACAGCATAATTGCATATTAAGATTTTTGTTCGTTTTTTCAGTATATTTTTCTTCATATATATATATATATATATATATATATATGTGTGTGTGTGTGTGTGTGTGAAAATTTTCTCAGAGTTTTCTCAGAAAATGACAATATGTATAAAGGTAAAAGACAATAGGAAAACTGTATTATTAGCCGAAGCGTTTCGTCCAACAATAAAAACATCATTTCTACACATGAAAGTACTGGACGTAATTTACAGTTGACAATATGAATAAAAATAGCTTTTCAATATCTTTCTAGTTGCTAAGGACATTTTGTTTGTTTTTAATAGTTACTTTGTTTTCCATAAATTCATTTTTACCTTGAAAAGGTTCACATTAGACGAAACGTATCGATTCATAATACAGTTTTCCTAATGTCTTTTACCTTTATATATCTATCTATCTATCTATCTATATATATATATATATATATATATATATATATATATATATATATATATGGGGGTGCAACACTCATAAAATCCTTGCTAACAGGTCGATCCCTGAAATAATTTATTAATGCCCAGTCAGCGCAGCACAACCCTCTTTTTGATTTACATAAACGATCTTCTTCATAATATACTCAGAGCTTTTTCGCAAAGAATATAGTCAGATCATTTTTAAACACATATGGCGACGATGCGACTATATACGGGCGCAACTCTAAAACTCATCATGATCAGTGATTGGTAACTGATCTGCTTTTGCACAAAAAGGTGTAAAAAATGTCTGGTTACACCGGAAGGCCAAATTAGTTATATTCCATCATCACCGATCGGACCCCGAAATACCGCGAATCATTCCTCTGCGGAACCGACTCCCAAGGTGATGTTTCCCCGATTACAACACTCCTAATCTGTTCAAGACTAAGGTTAACCGTCATCTTTTACTTCTATCCGTATAAATTGCCTCCTAACTTAAACCTCTACATCCATTGACAATCGGGCCTTGTAAAGTGTAGTGAGGGTTAGCGTAATGTTGGGAAACCTTTCTGAGATACGAATAACGTTTACAATAATAAAAGCAATGTCGGTTTAAAATCCATTATTTACTTAAATAAATGAAGACATAAAATAGTTTATGTCAATTCATGTATCCGAATGACTACAGTCCGACGCTCCTTCTCCACAATTTTAGGTTAAATTTCTTTAACATGCTTTCAAAAGTCCGAGTAGCGTGATATTATTTGTTCCGTTGTGGATCTGAAGCGAGAGATGCCAAACTGAAAGGTTGAAAAGAGAAACAAAGAAAAAAATCAACGAAGGAATCAACAGACCGAATAATGAAAAGCAAAAACAAAAATCAAATAGCGAAAAAGAAAATGAAGCGGGCAGCAGATGCAAACAGGAAGTTTATGTGAGCTTTTTTTTTTTCGGTCAATAACATTTGAGCTTTTTAGTTAGTGGCATATCTGTAGAGATATATGGATACGCATGCGCCAGTTACTTTCTAGCCGTATGGGCCAAAGCATATTTGTAGAACCATTATAGACAGGCAATGCATCTTTACCATATAAAACAGATATATACGTTATTGTCTGGAATGTCAAGCAGTCGTTTTTTAATATTTCGAAAAGGTTTTCAATAAATATGATGTTACATGGAACCAATCAGAAGGCTCCTTATATGCATGAAGAGGCACTCTCTTTTGTTGTTATTGCATCGAAAGAAAGACGTCATTCATTGGAGAGAAATTTGCAGTGCGTTTTGAAAAGTGTAAGGGGCTCTACGATAAATGTATGGGATTACAAGAGGGGTACTTGGAAATGACAAACATCCTGTACCTCGGGGTAAGCTTTTATTTTCTTGTTAAAATTAAATAGATCCATGCTTTCCGAAAAGACTTCCTATTAACACCTGCAAGTATGTTTTGTGATGTCAACGACACTCATTACCACTTTTGTAATACCAAAGAATACTCGTTGTCACTTTTGTAATGCTCGTTGTAGTAGAGACTTTGTAATCGCAGATACAACTATATCAACGCCGTTGAACAATACTGGTGTCAGACACCTTCGAATATCACTCGCACTAATAGTACTTGCTCGATAATACTCGCTCGAATAGTAACCACCCAATAGGGACCTGAATAGAGAAATAGTATAGTAAATAGAGTAGAGAATAGCGGTCAGTATCGTAATAACGGATAGAGTAGAAATAGCGATCCGAATAATAATAGAGGATAGACTAGAAATGGTGATCAGTTGAACGTCAGGATAACTTCCATATATGCGTTTCCTCTATAGTCACGTGATCTACTTAACTCAATAATGGGATCGCCTGTGTTTGCTCACTGGCGATCTATGTTCAAACTCAAGTTTCGGCAGTGACACTTTATTACTATATAATAATATGCTAAAAATTAAGTTGTGTGTAAGGATATAGGCGTATGTTTAGAAATATCGAAATTCAGTTGAACTACTATTATATTAAATTCCTTATAATTCATTTCCTGAAATTACCTTCAGAGAGGTTTTAATAATTAGCCCATTGCCTGGAAGGCGTCTTGAACCTTATTCCACAATCTTCCTACAGATGTAACGTCCAGCACCTTGTGCTGTGAACAGCTTAATAGGAATAGATGGAGAATGGTTAGTCCACTCGAACAAAATTGAAGAAGGAGGCTGATGCTGATAAGCCCACTCGTGTTCCCGATACAACAAGGCAATGCAGAAACTTTCTAGACCTCTTCTTCCCATACTACCACGACAAATCCTCTGCTGAAGTATTATCTCACCTGGACAATTCTGACCATTCGCTGATCAACTTTTTGAAAGTTGATGCCAAAGAAAAGGCATCTCCAGGTGTGCCATTTCACAGAACAATTTCTAGATACTCCAAAACTGACTGAGACAACGTCAGATATATAGTGGACTCTCCTTTCTCAGGATTTTTTAAACATAGAGCCTCAAGAACTATTTCTGTCAACTCTGAATAGATCCTGTCTGGCCTGGAAAAACTGGTTCACTCTTGACTCTGCTGAAGCCATAGGTGGCCGTAACCACTACTACAATATCTGTCACAGGGAACGGTGTCGTAGGTCATTCAAAAATACTTCAACCATTTCAAGAGAACTCAAGAAAATGCAACGTGTATCTATGCATAAGCAGCCCAAAACAAATGCCGAAAGCAAACGACTTGGATCCAGTAAGTTATGGAAGATACCAAACCAAATTCTCAATATAGGTAAAATGTTAGTGCCTACAATCAAAAATGGTTCTGGGTGTATCTTATTCTTGTCAGATAAGGCAAAACCCTTAAAGAGAACAAGGGTAATTGCCTTCCTGACTTTCCTCCCTCTCAGGCAACACGAACTAATAGAAATATTTTTTTTCACATGCCGTCAACTCTCAAGATTTATCAAATACCCTGGCCCTATGAAAAGTATCGGTTCAGATAAAACTCCAGTGGTTGACCTTAATAATATTAGCCCTGAATTATCGCAGAATTTAACTAAATTGTTAAAGTCTGTGAAATGTTTTCAAGAATGCCGGTGAGCCCTCCTTTCCTTCTCCATCAGCTTACTTATTGTCATAAAAAAACAACGTTGTTTTTTTGAATCCACAAGAGGGTAGCTGACCACCTCGACAGAGACCACCTCGTCAGCCACAAATTATACGAATTTCGATTAGATCGGTCTATTGCTGGTACCCTGTCCCTCACAAAATTAAAATACATCACAAAGACGATGACATTAAAGACATCAAAGACCCTTGACAAAATGTGGCAAAGGGTGTTTCTACGAAAACACTCCTGCTTCTTTTTAAATTCTTCTCAATTATAAAATCCTATCTAATTGATCGGTCAATGAAGATAGTTGTTAGTGGGTTGTTTTTTCCTCCGGGGTCCATGAGATCAATGCTGGCGTCACTCAAGGCTCGCTTCTCGGTCTGCTTTACATTAATGGTGTGCCTATGAGTATACTCTGGACTTTTGTGAATATCTATGCAGATGATAGACACAACGGTATATGGGTACACATCTAAAATTCTAAATGACGAGAGCCTAGCAAGTGATCTAACCTCTGACTTATCTGTAACAATTCAGCAAGTTAAACATTGGCTAATCCCACTCAATATCTCAAAATCCAAACTAGTAACGTGCCATCATAAACGAAATGACTGTGAAATTTCGTCTATCGCAACGAACGGGTGTTCTCAAAGAGGTCCTTACTTTGGACGCCTGTATAGACTTTAACTCAACCCAAATCTTAAGTGGAAGCCGTATGTACTGGCGAAATGGTCGGTCCCTGTACCTCCATTAAATAACTGAGTCCTACTGCTCTGCACTAATTTTACAAGAGCCAGATTGATCTTAAAATAGAGTACGATTGCCATATCTGGAAAGAAGCTACCCGGCCTTTACTTTCTAGTGTTTTTAAAGTTTATAAGTTTTTAAATGGCCGAGGGGTGATGATTTATCTTCCACTCTGCAACCCCTTTTCCCAAGGACGAAATGTTCCAAGTCTCTCGCGATAACATGTCCCTATTTCCATGGAAAGTGTTCAGACGATCTGCATTCCTTATTTCTACCCATTCTACGATACGCCATGTCGCGTGCACTGAGGCCAGCCACCTTCATTCCTGTTGTTTTCCATTTGTGAATAATGTGCGCCCCCCACCTCTGACAGCTTCTTCTGACGAACCTTTGTCAAAACAATTCGAAAGTACATATGCATAATATTGGTGTTTATATCCGGAGAAAATCTATCAGCAACAAGAGAATCGTCTTTTGGGTCCCCAGTTGATTCTTTCGTGTGATTCCTACTTTCATTATTACACCCTGTTAGCTATTAACTTTATTTTCATTTATCTCTCTCGTTCTGCACAGAAATATAACATATTGGGCAACCTATCCGACAATATAGAAATCTATCTATCTATCTATCTATCTATCTATCTATCTATCTATCTATCTATCTATCTATCTAAGTCTGTTCATATCTATCTATCTACCTATCTAAGTCTGTTCATATCTATCTATCTATCTATCTATCTATCTATCTATCTCAGTCCGTTCATATCTATCTATCTATCTATCTATTTATCTATCTATCTATCTATCTAAGTCTGTTCATATCTATCTATCTATCTATCTATCTATCTATCTATCTGTCCGTTCATATCTATCTATCTATCTATCTATCTATCTATCTATCTATATCAGTCTGTTCATACAGGGGGCCGACACTATTTTTGGGACACTTTGAAAAGTGTGCTTAAAGGTGTTTTTTGCTGCCGAGAGCTTTTGTGTTGATGAGTAGGTAGTTCAGTAGTAACTGTCCATTAATGGTATGAACATTGATTGATGGGCTTGTCTTTGGTTTCATGTTTTCTTTATTTTTACTTCAACTTAGTCGACACTATTTTTCGGACATGACACAAATTCCGGTTTTTTTAATGATTTAGTCGTCGAACGTCTATAATATGCAAATTTTCTGCATGTAAATTCTACCCTGACCATTACATTTGAGTATCTTTACCATTCACTGCGAAAACGTATTAAAATCCTGAAGAAGAATGCATTCAAAAGAAGTCATCAGTTTGGTCCAAAAGAAGAGAGAAGACGGGCTCAGCATCCGAAAGATTGCCGCTGAGATGAAGCTACCGAAATCAACAGTTGAATACATGCTAAGTACAGACTATGAGCGGAAGAAGAAGAGAGGACGGAAAAAAACAATTTCCAAGAAAACAGAAAGAAGAATGAAGAGGAGTGTTACGAGGTTGTTATCATCTGGAGAAAAGGTGACAGCGAAGAAGGTAAAGGAGAAGTGTGAACTTGACGTCAGTGTTCGAACTGTACACAGCTACACGAAATTGGACTTAAGTATGCTAAAATCAAGAAAAGAATTACACTAACGAGAAAACACAAGGAGGCAAGACTGGGAAGCACTAAAACATGGATAACAAACCATGTCGACTTCAAGAAAGTGATATTTACTGATGAAAAACATTTTAAGTTCGATGGACCTGACGGGTGGTGTACATGGTCGAGAAAAGGTGAACCTGTTATACACAACAAGAGACAGGTGGGAGGAGGAGGAGTCATGCTTTGGGGTAGGGTATTTCCGAATTGAAACTTGTGGCTCGAGTGGTTAAAAGGACGTCAAAATAGCTTGAGCTACAGAGAACTTTTGGAAAAGAGAGCCCTACCACTCATAGAAAAAGAAATGGGAAGTAATTTTATTTTGCAGCAAGATAACTGCAGCATCCATGTGGCCAAACAGTGAAAAATTGGATGTGTGAAGCAAATATGACTACTCTGGAATGGCCTGCAAGACCTACAGACTTAAATTTAATTGAAAACATATGGGAAATGCTTGCAGAGCTTGCAGAAATAACCAGAGAGGCTGAACTGTGGCAGCGCATACAAGATGCTAAAAATAGACTGCTAGAAGCACGAAGAGACGTTATTATCAATATGTACGAACATTATGAAGATAGACTGATAGAAGTCATTGAAAAAAAAAGGGTGCTGCCATAAAATATTAGCATTGTTTCTGCAAATTCCGAAAAATACTGTCGCCTGTGTAATGTGAAAATTTGTAAAAAAATAAAAATACATCTAATTTGAATTCTGCTTTTCCATTTGTAGTATTGAAACAGTTTTTAAATGTTATTGCCATTACACTAAAACAGTACAAACTGCCTGTGCTACCTAAAACTTGAAAAATTAAAGTGTCTGAAAAATAGTGTCGACCCCCTGTATATATCTATCTATCTATCACCATTTACCTGCGAATATCCTGTTTCGTGACGTGATTTTAATGGTTATCATGTCAATATTGTCCTACTTGTTTCTCTAATAATTGTAATCAACATTTCTTTACTTGATGTGTTCTTTAACTCTTCTCTTTGTTCTTGTCGATCATTGAAACTCTTTCCTCTGAGCAATTCGGATCATACTGTAGTATCTGTTGATAGTTCTATTTTAACTCATCTGTTCTTACCAGTGGTACAAATTGGGATTCACATCGTGATTTTCTAGGATGCATATGCATGGTTTTGTTGTTTAAATCCAGAAAAAAAAATTACATTTGCTAGGGAATCTCTTCTTGCGTCCCCAGGTGATTGTTTCATGTACTTTCCAAAATATTTATTGCATCTGTCTATATTTCTGAGATGAGGTATTATGTACACTATTTACATTATTCGGAACTATTGTCCTTATCTTTGTCGCCATGTTTATTACAACGTTTCGGCTGTTGCATGCTCCGGCCTTCTTCAGGTGGTTTGAATGACAAACTGAATCCTTTATTTCGCTCACTGGAGTAGACTGTTCTATTCGCACTATTCGGACTTTCATTTTTTTTCCCCCGTTGCTCAGCTACTCGTCTCCCTAATAAATCTGATTAACATGCTTCTCTACACGATTTTTTTCAGATAGTCCTACCAGGTAGCTATACACTCCCCTGATTCGAAAGTGGAATATCCTGAGCGCAAAGGAAGGAGACAATGTCGAGGAATAGTTATGGAATCTTATAATTTTTTTTTCAGTTTTCTCTGCTTTCTGTGATACAATTAGTTTTAGTCACAAGCACCAGACATGATGTAGCAATATTCAAAGCATATAAGTTTTTATAAATTTCTAAAAAAAAAAATAAACTATAAATTTACCTCTATACTTTGATACCATAATCAGTAGATAAATAAGTAGATTTGAAATTTAACAACAATTATTATTAACAGAGATTTGAACTTCCTACGCGTTTTCTCCTAAATGGCTATTTAGTTGACTAATTTCTAGAATTTTTCAGAATCAGATTCGATTCAATCCATCTTCCTAAAAATAAAATAGGAGAATTTCTAATCAGATATATCGATTATATCATAATAACTGCCTGGGAAATTCTCATTCAAATTCTGTTTATAATGTCCATTTTCGTAATAGGCTTCGATAACTTTAACACGTTGTTTGATTGTTAATCTTTCCATGGTTGAAATTGCCAAAGTTGTTAAATCTGAAAGAAAAAGAAAAAAAACTTTAGACGCTTAAACTTAATTCACATTTAAAATCGGTCCAAGTTATTCGAACACTCTATATTTACCGTTTTTCGGAACCCATCTTAATGAATGAATCTTCCTGAGTTCTAATCATACGTGGCAGTGAAGAATACATTTGAAATACATTAACATAACTCAGTTTTTGCACGGCAGTTGCAGGGTACACCGTGGATTAAATGAAAAATGTTGATCACTGTCATGACAACTCAAGGCCACAAAATTAACCCTGGAAATATTTTTAAATTTGCTTGGTCTTTTCTTTCTTTGACCTACCGATTATTACCTTTTTTAATCGTTGTAAAACGCTTTGATGACAAAACTTTCTCTGATGATAACTATTTTCAAGTGTTCGCCGGAAAAAAGTTTTCATATCAAAACTTTACTCATAACCTGATAGATAGCAACTAGTCATTGTAAATAATGGTGAATAAATTTAATTGTACATTTGTTTAAGAGTAAAGTGGAATCCAATGATTAGAACTTCTGACCAAAGTTAAGCAATGTCGATCCTGGTCAATACCGCAATGGGTGATCTCTTGGGAATACAAAGTGCTGCAAGCTTCGATGTGCGGGTGGTGCGATAGATAATGGCTTGGAATTGTTGATCGGAGAGTCGAGTTTCAATGCCAGTTGGGTTCGTTATATTCACCAAATACACTTGAGAAAGGCATGAACCCACCTCTTTTGGTCCCAGCTGTGGGTTAATAAGCAAAACTTGTATCACTAAACCATTATCATTTCTAACTAAAAAGTCTTAAAATAAATTGTAAAGGGCTGATAAATCATAGAAAAGGAATCGATTAACTAATACATTGATTTGTGTATACGTGCGTGTATGGACCGGTGATATTAGCAAGAAATGTCATAACATTTAATAAAGATACGAATCATTTGTTCGGCTACATACGAAGAATATAAGAGGAAGGAATACAGGGTGCGATGTCGTCTAAATTACGCAAAAGGAAATAACACAGACATATCATTCTAACAGATATATTTAGAAAGAATTACACAAAAGTAACTTGAATACCAAAGAGTAAATTTATTCAACCACAGCCTAGAGACAAATTTGGAACCTCCTGCAAGACTTCCTGGTGGGTCTTTGTTTAAGTTGGTGAATTCTGTCATAATCCTTACCTTCAGTTCATCTTTGGTATTACAAGGAGTTTTGTTGATCTCTCCCTCAACTGCACCCGAACATTATAATCAATGGGGTTGCTGTCTGGGGAGTTAGGTGATCGGATGTAAGGGTTGATGCGGTCGCAGAAATTGTCTGACAGCCATGGCTGGGTTCTCCTGCTTGTTTGGCACAGTTCAGAGTCCTGTCGACAGACATAGGCTCTCCCAGCAGCCACCCTCTTTACTCAGGGCAACCTTGCTACCTCAAGGCAGTTGATGTAGGCCTCTGTGTTGAGTCTGGGGCCGTGTTGGAAGGTGAATGGAGGCACAACCTCGCCATCAATAGTGATAACTCCGAACACCGTGATGTTGACTGGACATATCATCCAACTCTTTCCGAAACCCCTGCACTGTTCTCAGATTGACACGCAACCACTCTGAAGTGTTCGTATTGGAGCTTTCGACGTGAATGCCAAGCAGAACAACACGCCGTTTCCAAACTTTTGCTGGGTTGAATTGCGTCATGGTACTCTTTTTCTCACAGATGGTGCCCACCTGACGCTAGTATACAGTGCAGTGAACAAAATCAAAAACGAACAACGCGCATGCGCGAAATTAAAAGTATAAAATAGCGACAATTTACCAATCGCACCTTCTGTATTGCGCTGCGAAAAGAATATAAAAGTGTGAATATATATGTAGTCGAGAATGCTGGGAATTATTATTGCGCGTATGTTCGGTCATAGTGATTGGCTATTGACTAGTAATCCAACCCGGAATTTACTCTTAAATGACCAGTCATCTTTTTTGCCCGAAGACTGTCCTGTCTACTTTCTCGCCATCCAATCATCTTTACTGTCTTTAATCATGTACTATTCAGACCTTCCCTTTTTGTCTTGGAAAAATATTCACTTTTTTTCTCCTTGAGGCTCCCGGACGAAAATGGCTGCCATCAATTCTATGTATTTGCACTAATACCCATTCTCATCAAATAATAATAATAATAATAATAATAATTTTCCTTTCTTACTATATTTTTTTCTTGGCTTTCTTTGTATAAACGACATTTGGCCTCACCCCAGGAGGAAAGACTCTCTAGAGATGCGCGTTAAAATTAATCCATAGACAGTAAACGTTAGACTTATAACTTACTGATTACATGAGAGGAATAAGTATGGGGTGACGTGATGAATCTTGCTTACTATATTGTTCTCAAAGAAGAGTGACTCTTTTTTTCGTAGCTAGTGTCAAGAGGTCTGTCTGGTATGTTGTCTGGGACATGAAAGACATAAGCGTTGTTGCTTTTATTTCTATGGGTCAGACTAGACCCTTCTACATTACTGTATTTCTGAAAGGAAATTACCCGAGGAAATACACAAAAGAATACATCCTTGTAGATACACACGCATATATAAATTATATATAAATATATAAGAAATAAATCTTTTGTAAGAAGCTCTTTTGTAGATAGGTAAATTATAAGATTTTGTTCTGAAGAAAAAATAAAATACTATTGTAAAAATTAAAATCAAAATTTTATACAAAAAGTAACTATCAATAAAGTATTAGAATTTATTTTGAAAAATGTCTAAAAATAAAAGTATTTATTTAATTTTGATTCATTTATTTTCTACATCTTATCAACTTTCTACGGGTTATTTAAAGCCAGAATATATTTTTAGATTGTAAGAAAATCTTTTCTTTTGGTAATAATAATGATCTATTGAAACACGTTTAATCCACAGATGGGGCGAAAAGAGGAGAATTCATCCCTTTTTCCAACGGTATTTGCGCGTAAGTGGAGATAATGAACCCAAAGGGAACTAGAACTCGGCTCTTCGATTAACAATTCCGAGTAGTTATTCATTACACCACCCGCACATCCAAGCATACAACACCGGGTATTTTCAAGCGATCACACATCTAGGTACTGACGAACTTTGACGTTGCTTAACTTCGGTGATCGTAATGAGAACCGGTGTTTGCATATAAGCCAGGTATTAAAAGGAGAGTGGAAAGAGAGAACTAACCACCAATTGTTAAAAAGACGAAGTTTATGGTCCCTAACAAAAGAGAGAGAGAGAGAAAGAGAGACAGAGATGCTAGCTACGAATTGTGACGTTAAAATAAATTAAATACTATAATTTAACTATTTGGGAAATATTATGACAGAAAAGAGAAATGTAACACAGAAATCTGAAGTCGATCGTATGGGAACCAATGTTTCTAGATCATATGACCGTAAGCACAAAATGATATTGAAAAATAACATAATTAAAATCTCTCCATGTTCTATATTCTACTAACCAGCAACTTGGGAGGATATAGAAACCGAATATTAGCCCCACTTTCTCGCGACAAAAACAGTTTGTATTTACAATATCTTTTGGGGTAAATATTTGCTTGGATAACAAGAATTGAGCTCATCCTAATAGATACCAAATTAAGTTTTGTGGCCAATATCGTATCAAGATATCAAAAGAGAGAATTCAAACGTTGTTTATCTAGAAGGTAACTTCATATCTAGCAAGTGCATAATCGGGTCTCAAATGATATCGCTAGCTGCGCCGACAAGATACAGGAAGTCAACCAAGATGAAACTAGGATAAACACAGCTAAAACAACCGGGTGATATAAATATCAAATCCATGAGGAAGAAGAAAGAATCACCCAAATCACTGAGAGAAGATCGAATGTTCAGAGAAACTGTTCGGGAAACCACATACCCATGAGGCTGAAATTAATTTCATGGAATCAAGAGGTAGATAAGCAATAATTTTACCCATGAAAGATTTAGATACGTTACTAACAAAAAAGTTACATTTCCCTCAATGAGTACCGAAAAGCAGGACAATTAGAAACTAAAATCTGTGGGGGGTTATTTTTATATTTAGCTTATATAACATTGTAAAATTTCTCTTTGATATTTTGTGTGGAGTAGCATTAGCTTTTCTTGCTAACATTTTGTTTGAAATAGTGTAGAATGAAGAAGATTTTCTTCTTAATCTTTTCTCTAATGTCTGATGGGGGCTTCTTCTCTAACTTTTGTTTCAAATAGTTTAGAATGAAAAAGGATTTCTTTTTCATCTTTCCTTTAAAGGATGGGTGCTTTCTGCCTGACGTCTTTTTTTCAAAAAGTGTAGAATGCTTTCTTCTTTATATTTTCTTTGAAGGAGCGAGGAATGATGGGAGATTCCTGTCTAATGTTTTCTTTCAAATAATGTAGAATAAAGAGGGTTTTCTTCATCTTTTCTTTGAAGGAGCCTGGAATGATGGGAGCTTCCTGTCTAAGCTTTTTCTTTCAAATAGTTTAAAAAGAAGAACCATTTCTTCTTCAACATCTTTTCTTTGAAGAAGCGTAGAAAGATGAGGGTTTTATGTATGACCTCTTTTTTTTTCGAATAGTGTAGAATGCTTTCTTCTTCACCCTTTCTTTTGATGGGGTGTGGAATGATGGGAGCTTCCTGTCTAAGCTTTCCTTTCAAATAGTCTAGAATGAAAAGGACTTTCTGCTTCATCTCTCTTTGAAGGAGCGTGGAATTAATTAGGCTTTCGTTTATATAGTATCCTTAAAATTTTGCTATCACAAACAATCTATCTTATTGCCATTTTATAGACAACTCTTGCTGATTTATTGATAAGCTTTACTAAGCAAAACTAAAAAAAAAATCGATGAAAGGTAATAGTAAACTTACGCTTGTTTAATATTCAACTCTTTTGCCGACGTATTAATAATAGCAGTCCTACTTCGTTCTCGTATCATTGGTGCTTACTAGACTATCGACACATCTCATTCATTATCTGACAATATTTTAAATTAGTTGGCCAGATCATTGTTTTTTTTTCTATTATTTGCATTATTTACATTCAGACAAATGTTCTCATACTTGTCTTTACTATTCCAACCTTTCGGCCAATATTCGTTCCGGCCGTTTTAAGGTGTCTGAACCAGACGAGATAGTCACATACATAGAGAGTGAAATGAGAACAGTCTAACGCACGAGTTCAGTTGAAAATTCCGGTAAGTTAACCGTGTACAACCGACATCTAAAAAAGCCCGAAGAGTAGATCTGCGGAAACGTTGTGAAAATAACGACGATTTTTTTGTTTTTTTATCTTATCGCTCCATACAAGGCAGTAAAGCCACTGAGGCACAAGGCGTTACATTGTTTGAAAGAAAAAAGACAGCAACAGAAAAAAAATGCAAACAGTATAGAGACACGAGAATAATAAAATAGTAATTAAGAGGACATTAGATAACGATTGACATTACATTTTTGAAGATCCGATTTGGCTGGAAAGCATGGAGCCGGAAGAGATTTCCGCAAACGAGAAGTGCGAGTAAAAAAAAACTTGTTGCATATAATTTTGCAACGGCTGCATCTAGCTAATTCAAATGTGAATTGATGAAACCTTGCCGTGTATTTAGTACGGCGCTTAAATCCTAGGTACCATAGCGAAGAATTCATCGGGAAAATTGCCATGAACGTTTTTTATTTAAAAAAAGGCAAAGTGTAGATACATTACAACGGTGAGAAAGTGACTGATTCCCAGATGCCAGTTCAGGACCAATAATATTGTAGATTCTTCTTTGAATTTTACCATGCATCTCTAGATATACAACAGGAGCACCGGAATATAGACAACTGGTATACATAGAAATATGTAAAATAGATTTAGGAAAGAAAATGGACTTGCGCCACACAGTGAACCAACTTTCTTAGCAACAGACGTAGCAATAGATTCGGTATAATCTTTCTACTTCATGTCAGCAGAGAATGTATGCCCCCCGGGGGGGCGCAACGATTCACTCTCAGGAAGGTTAATATCAGCCATGGGAGACAGGTAAGGGGGTCTTTCAGAACTGATAAGACTTACTATCGAGACAGGAGTAAGTGGCTGTCAACAGCATAGATATCAATTTGAGAAATGAAGCCATCAGGAAGGTCACATGATAATTAAGAACAAAGTAAGTCGAAAGACAGAGATCTGGGAAACACCTGCATTGGTAAAAAAGATCGAAAAAGTGGCTTTTCAAGAAACTCTTATTTCGCGATTTGATGAGAAAGACTGAATGAGTTCAAAAATTCGTGCGGAAATACCAATTTCTATTTATGAAGACCGGTATGCCAAACCCGGTTAAACTCTTTCGAGATATCCAAAGCCACAGCCAGAGGTTCACCATTCTTATCTAATCATTGTTATATCGGCAGTTGATCTAGAGAAGCGACAGCCATATTGCTTGTCTGAAAGATGACCCTATAAGATGCTTAACCAATTCAGAGTTTATTAGGACTTCTTGTAAGTTGACAAATATAGATAGATGACTAACAGACCGATAGTTCAAATGTTCAGGCGATACACTTTGTTCTTAATATCTGGAACAGAAGTTGATTTCCAACAAGCAGAAAAGCAAGAGGAAGAGAGGCATTTATTATATAATTTAAAGAGAACAGGATCCAGTTTTGGAGCATATTTCTAACGTCTCTTACAAAGGTACCATCAAGTTTATATGCTACAATTTTGGGGGTCTAAATTAGAGATTGACAATATAGATGCATATATTAAATAAAAATAATTTGAATTTATGTTACGTCTTGTAACTTGATGGAACTTGAAATCGAAATCTAAAAAAATGTGGCACTTGAGGAACTGAATAATTTCTATTGAAATCATCGGATTGATTGGCAAATGTTCTGATAGACTCATTGATGGGATTCCTGGTAGACTGTACTCACAAGTAGAGCTCACACGTTACAAAGAGCTTTATTTTTGCAAAATATGTATGATCTTTGTTTTTTTGTCTAGATTTTTTTTGTTTTTTTTTTTTACTTTTGTCTTTTTTATTTTCTCAAAAATGATCAGTAGAAAATGTCATTAAGCCATTTCCGACCTTAGATCTCTGGTTGGGACACGGAAGTAACTGTGTATACGACAGAAATCAAAGAAAATAATAACAAAAAATCTATATTTTATATGTAAACTTCTTTCCGCACTTATGCTAACATGTATTTTTCATATTTTGTCTTTCGTTGCCCTAAGTATTTTCGACTTTAATCACATTCTAGGTTCGTGTTCTGTCATACATTCAGAGAAACTCGTGAAACAGTAAAATATATTCACAGACTTACTAAATGTTGTCGGACAAAAACTGTAACAAATGAACTAATGCTATCATATACATATACCGGCAGTAACATCAAAATTGTCCAAATCGCGTAACAGTAAAAATTTGTTCAATTATTAGATTAATATTTGAAGCAGTGCATCTTAGAAATGATATTGGAATTCTCTGAGGTTTTTGTAATACAATTAGACTCTTCTTTGAATGATAAGACAGTATATTTATTAAAGACATTTTTATTTATGTTTAACGTTGTTATTTTATATAAATAAAAATGTCTTTAATAAATAAATTGTCGGACCTCGTCCATTTCTTAACATATAAGACAGTATTTAGCTCTAAGTTGAAATGTTGAGCTTTCTTGCAGTTTTGATCCAGTTTTCCTCTCTACTGTTCCTTCCTTTTTTAAAACTTATTCTCTGTTCTCTTGATGGTTCTTAAATGGACTTTGAAGAATAGAAGCCAGGATATGAATGTTGGTAGTATTATTGAAAGCCTGAATTATCATTGTTCATTTGGGAAGATATTTCAACATTTGTTATGTGTTGATATGTTGAGGAATAACAATGGGCTTTTGCACATATGGAATTTTATTCTTGTTTTGGTGCCTGGAAATGTATTTTTGATACACCCTGTATAAATAACCAATTCTATCTCAATTTAAAGAGATCAATTAGAAAAGATCCAACTCAGTTCATAAGACGTTTGGCAAATGAAAGAGGAGTTGGAACCTTAGCAAAGTGAGAAATATTGTTAAGAGCTTTACCAGATAGGAAGTTGTAGAGAGCCATGATCGCCTATGCCCTGAAAATATTTTGTTTGCTGTCTCTCCTTTTCCTAATCGGCACTTTCGCTTTTCTGTAT